ATCATCATCTGTAGTCCTCTGGGCGGTTTCCTCACATGCGTGTGCAGAACAGTCCTCAGCTGAACACCTGACGTGGACCCTCTGAGGGTCCCTGGAGTTCTTTTCTCTCTGTGCAGCTCTGTCCTCTGTGGGACTCTGCTCCGCCGACTCCAGCTGCCTTGGTATCTCCCAGCTCACAGCTCTGTCTTGTCAACTGGGCAGCCTACTGAGTTCTGCCTTGGCCGCCCCGGCCCATTTCTCTCTCAAGGAAGTAAACTGGGTAACTGTAGGGCTCGCTTCCTTTGCTTCTCACACCTCTGGGTTCACCGTCCTTCCTTGCTTGATGTGCACTGTCTTGAAAACCACTGTTTCATATATTTTGTTCTTCTTTTTTTTTACATCTTTATCCTTCTTTCATGCATTTCAGTAGATATGTTGTGTCCTATTATGTCCACACATGATTATTTATTAATCCAATCATATACTGATGGAGATTCATGTCTTTTCCCTCCAGTTTTCTGACTGTTACAATGTACAAAACTATCTATGTATCTATCTCTGGATATGTGTATATCTACTGCAGGATAAATCCTGAGTTGTAGAATTCCTAGATAAAGTGGTCTGGGCATTTTAAATTTTGATAGGTACTGCATGCAAGTCCACTCAGAAGGACTGTATCTTACACTCCTACCAGTACTAATTCCTTAAACCCTTGCAAACACTGGTTGTTATCAGCATTTTCAAGTTTGCCAAATTTACAGTTGAAAAACAATATTTCATTATTTTGATCTAAATAATACTGCAATTATGCACTTTTTAAAGATTTGAAACAAAGCACCTCTAAAATCACCTAAACCTGGGCCTTTGTTATGACATAATTTTTTGATAATTTTCTTAATTCCTCCTTTGGATATTGGCATATTATGTCAGTATCTCTTCTGGGGTCAATCTAGACATATTTTTCTTAAATTCATCCATTTCATTAATCCTTAAATTGTTTTTTACATCATCTTGCAAAACACTCTTGTATAATTATTTCAATTTCCCCTCTGTGTTTTGAACACAAGTTTTAGGGTTTTAAAAACCAGCTATCTCCCTTTCCTTCCACTTTCCAGCTTCCAGCTTTCCACTTGCTCAACTGCTCCAACCCCCTAGGTAAGTAACAATCCTCACATGTCCTGCTTCAGAGAAGTGAATATATTCATAGCACATAACTCCATCAGCCCCCGCTTCCAAGTCTCACTGTGTCCTTCTCCCTTTTCTAAACTACATTCTTCCTCCTGTTCCCCTGTTCTTTAAAAATACTAATAAAACATGTATAAAAAGTACTGAATGACCATTAACTACAAGGCAGACTAATACATGCTATGAAAGATACACACAGTAAAATACAAGCCCCTGATGTCAGAGAGGTTCCCCTTCTCCTGTTTTAAAAAGAGATGGTTACCAAAAATATTGACTTCCCTAATTAGGCTTTACAGCCTAACCCTGAGGTCGCAGTCAGCTCAGCCATTCCATCGGTGCCACACCCCACAGGGAGAACTCACTGGTGACACGGCCGGGGCGCACCTGGTGTTATGTTTTCCCGGGGCCGCAGCCACGTCAGTTTCATCGGCATCACTCTGTTCTTTCCAAGGAGGTCTGTTTCAAGCTTGCCTTACCTTACGGACGTGACAGGAGAAGAGGACGTTCATGTATTTGTCCTTCCGTTTCAGTTCGTTTGCGACGGGGACGAAAGTGCCTGAGGTCTGAGGTGTATCTGGCTTCTGAAAGAAAAGGGAAAGACGAAAATATGAGCACGCTTCACATATTAGATGACAAGGCAACCTCTCACTGCTTTCTAACTACATGCGGATAGTTTCACACATGTGCTTTGGACCTCCCCATCCCTGACGACTAGCTACTGAAGGGTCAGTGTAACACCAAAGGTCCTATAATATTTTTGAAATAAGGAATGGGAGAGAGGATGAAATACAGCTTTAGGAATAATGGATACAAAGATGCGAATTAAAAACAGTTGTTGAATTACGTAAGGGAAGGTTTAAATGGTCAATGCCAGGTTACAGAATGTACCTAATACATGTGGATACAAGACAGAGGACCCTTTAAAGTGAGGAAAACATTTATTTAGAAGCAATAAAAATCTTTTAGTCTAGAGTCTCTCATAGAAATTTAGTTTCTGAAGATGTCTTAGTCCTTCTATACATTCTTGGAGAAAAATTCTTCTCTTTCTCTGGGCAGGGGAGCAGGAGTGGGTTCCACTTTGTCCTCCTGGACTTACCGAAGCAAGATAGTTGCCCTCCCAGGCCCTCTGGAGCCCAAGGTCAGCCCTTTGACCCTTCAGCATCTCCACGGCTGCAACCTTCGCCCTCACCTGGGGCAGGTCTGAAGCAGGTATGGTCTTGATGAGCTGGGATGCTCTCCATCTGTTAGAAAATGAACCAAATGTATATGAGACTTTAGAAGCACCATCCTTTTCCTTCTCAAAAGTAACCGAACCTGCCATTAAGTACAATTAAATCACTTGTGCGCTATCTTAAAAAAGTAAAATGCCTCCAAAATACACATAGAACTTGTTAAAATACACATAGTTTCCTGTAGACAGAGGTTTTTGTAAAACTTGTTTTGCTGTTCACGTGTTTTGGGAGCAACTAGAATTCAATGATATACAGTCTCATAATATATATATAGTTAGGGCGTGGGAACTTTGGATTCATCATTCATTCATTCAACAAATGTTTTCTAGGCACCTCCACCTCTTGTTTATGCTGTTTTCGGGAGGGGAGGCACAGCAGTAGAGAGATGCAGGTCCTTTCTGCCAGGTCCTTACGTTCTAGAGAGCAGAGACAGACAGACAGTAAGACGATGAGTAAATGCCGAGCATGTCTGATGTGATACGTGCTGTGGAAGGAAATAAGGCAAGAAAAGGGGGGCAGGAGAGCAGCAGAGGGAAGGGACGGGGAGCAGGTGTTAGGTGCGCAGGGTGGTCTGGGAGGCACCAGCTGTACAGATGTCGGAGCAAGTGTTCCAGGAAAAGAGTGGGCACAAAGGCTGTAAAGCGTGAGCTGGTCCCGTGTGTCAGAGGACTAGCCAGGAGTCCCGTGAGTTGGGGCAGGAGCACGGGGGAGAGGACCAGGACGGGGGTCCGGGGGAGAGCCGGGGCCAGGATCCACGGAGCCATGGAGGCCCTCCCAGGACCCTGGCCTCCACTCTGCAACGAGAAGTTGGTGGAAGGTCTTGAACAAAGAAGGGATGTGGCCTGACTCTCGCTTCACAGGCTCATTCTGACGGCTGTGTGGAGAAAGGCTAAAGTGGGGCTGGGCTGGGCATGGATGCCCACTCAGGAGGCTGTTTCCATCAGGCACGTGGCAGAGGACGGTGGCTTGGATCAGGAGGTCACGGCGGAGGTGGGGATGGGTGGGGTTCTGGAAGAAGTGCCAAGAGCATCTGCTGACGGATTAGACGTGGGGGCAAGACAGAAACAGAGGATTTAAAGATGACCCCAAGGCCTTTTGGTCTCAGCAACTGAAAGCATAAACTAAAAATAATCTATTCCTGATTGAGAAAAACAAGCACAAGGTCTTCTGCGCTCTCAGCAGCATCCTAGAATTGCATGAGATGTACGCCCTCATTTCTGCCACCAGAGGCTGACGCAGGGAGGCTGGAACTGAGCACCTCCCTCTCGCAGATGAAACAATCAAGGCCGGTGGTTCTCAAACTATGCTTCCGTGGAACACTAGAATGAGATTCAACTAAACCTGGATAGTGGTGCTCTTTCCCCAATTTACATACAACGCTAGGGAGACGGTTTTCACCTAAGGTTTTTCCTGGGGTGTATGCTTGTTTCAGGATGGTGACTGGAGCCTACATGTTTGTTGTTCTGTCTGTCGAATTCCCACCAAAATAACCCAATAAATATAAGGAAAAACCCACACCGCCACCAGACCAC